GAATTAATTCTAACAAGTTTTATTATACAGGGTTTGCATGTTTCAGGCCAAAGTGCTTCATTAAATCGCCTTTCGCATGGGTATACACTAAATAGATCTTGACCATTTTTTAAATGTACATAACGGTTACATTCCTTTACTTTGAAATCGAGAGCATTACGTCATAAATACACAAAATACTTAGTAAAGGTCACACATATTTCGACAAAACTAAAAAACTTGAAATTTAAACTAATAAAATGCGAATTCTATTTAACACAGAAACACTTTCCATAAACTACGAGACATGTAGAAACAATTTATTACTTTTTTATTATTTTAATCAGGGTATGCCCTTTCGATATTGAAATTTGTTCATGACCTACATACAGTACACATTACAAACATTTATCACATGACTTTCAAATAACGTGACCAAACCAAATTCCATACAGAGCGGCGTATACAATGTTATTTTAGGAATGACTCTAATTCTTGGCCAAATTATTCGCCTATAACCTGGTTTGGGTCAGTTTACGCTTTATAATCCGCGAAGCGGATTATAAAACAGCGTAAACTGACCCAAACCAGGTTATACGCGAATAATTTGTCCAAGAATTAGAGTCATTCCTTATAATTTAATTTTAAAATCATTAAATAACTATGGGTGTAAAATTTCGTTACTTTTTATTAGTTCAAATTTGCCGCTCAATAATACAACCGTAGTAACGGAAGTAACGGAAGTGATGGGAATCGAGGGGAGGTAAAAACTGATACATAGGCCTAGCAGCCATGTTGGTTGTTTACATGTGGTAAGATCGAATTATTGTTAAACGTACATTCATTAAATCTGGAATTTTCCATGAATCCCGAGGACTGGAAATGAGAGGATTGTATGGATACAGATGATTCAGCTGGTTGTCAGGGGGGTGTGTCCCCATACCAAACCAGGTTATACAGAAATAATTTGTGTTCCTTTTTGGATATTAACCAATCAGAGGCTAGAATACAAACAAAATTAAATTATTTCAATTAATATTAAAGTCCTGTGATAATAATGTAGCTTTACAAAAATAAATTCAGTTTAAAAAAGTATGTATTTATGCCGTTGACCTCTTCGTAGTGCGCCTTAACAGAGCTGCGTTCACTTGAAGTTTGACTTCATTTTCAAAACTTTTAACATTGGTGACAACTTTTGAATGGGAGATTCATATTTGACAAGTGCATTACCTGTGTCAAAAATTTCTGAGTGTGCTATGATATTCGACCTATTGACCTTGAAATTTGACCTGATCTTTTAACATTTTATCATTGCTGAATATTACATGTAGAAGACTGCTTTTGGTGTTACTTAGTCCTAGACTAAGTAAAACATGCCACATTCATAAATGAACAATACCTTCCGTTCCTTTCTAGAGATGGTGGATAAATTCAAAGTCATTTGCAGAAAAAGTGTTAAAAATTCTGGTCAGTAAGTTTTGAGAGAGAAAAAGTGTATGTTCTTACATCAATCAAAAATGCTCACGACATGAAATTAAGCTATGACATTTGGACAATTTCACTGTCACTGGTGGAAAAAAATTCCGCTCCATAATTTTTTAGTTGTGGATAACAATATTTGACACAAAGCTTGCTTGGGTATGGAGCTTGAATTGATTTTGAACAAGGAAATTTGAACAAGATTAAGGTCTCTGACACGTGACATGCAAAACCATAACTGCTTTCTGCACATACCTTTGTAAAGGACAAGTATTGAAAGTCCACGGTAAACATAATTTACGCTACACTCCTGAGTTCATTGCATTCTGCACATTTAGAAAAAAATAATGCAATTTCAGTGCAAAAAAAAAATTAATATATTAAGTTTCGTCTTCAAAATTTACGGTTTTCGGGAAATTAAAGAAACAAAACAATATAAACCTAAAAAGAATAATAAAGAATAATAATTATAACTATGTCCAGTCATCAAGCAGGGTAAACGTAGTTTTTTTTTTATGTGCAGATCATCCAATAAGCTAAATAAAAGATTCTGAAGAAAACATTGTAAAAATAACTCTGTAGAGAAAAAAAGTGAAGTGGACAAAATATCTCGTGAATGCTTTTGACGACAGGATTGAGAGTGGGGAGCATAAGCGGTTCTTAAAGCTTGACGATATTTAAGGTTTGGAGAATCAAAGATATGGATGATCTGGCAAATAATATATCGTTACGATGCTGGAAAAAATCTTTACTTAAATGAAGAATATCTATATCTATATATAAATCAGTGAAAATTGATTTTAATTGGTTGGTCAATGCAATTTTTAAAAATCCTAAATCCTGGACCATAAAACATAGCAACTCGCCACACTCGGTCCATTCGTACCTCATCTAAAATCGTCTGATGAAGACGATGGAATCATCTGAGGTTTGCCAAATGTAAAACATAGATGAGCTCACTTTTGTTCCCTTTGTGAAAGTGAGACTGAGATTAAAAGAAAAAATTGTATAGCCCTGGAACCTGATCAGATTAAAGCACCTGTGAAGGAAATACTTGTCAAAAGACAGGATCGGGGGTACATGTAATTCAACAAAACAGGAAATTTACTAGATTTTTTAGAGAATTTTTCAAAATGAAAGAAACTAACAGCTCATCGAGAAATATATGTGTATATGATGAAAGAATTTTTGAAAAGCAGAATAAAGACAGAAGGATCGAGCAAGAGACAAGGCTGCTGAGTTTTTTCTTTATTCAGACACTCTTCCTACACAGAGAGCAAAGAGGATGAAGCCCGGGAGACAGAGAGAGTGGAGAAAGAACCAGATGATGTGGACAATGGGGTCATACGTACAAGAGATACGGGTATATGATAGCAGCTTGTTTTCCATGAAAAGGGAGATTTTACCGGAAGGCTTTTTGCACATGTCCATCTTTAACAATGATATTACAAACAACCATCATGCAATAACTTTTAAAATTTTCTGGAGATACAATTTAAGTTCTGTTCAATAAATATACCTCAGTGGAAAAATGTTGGCATCAAGATGGATACTAATTACTTTACGAATGATGTTAGAAATGTAGGCTACCTCATGACCAAAGACAAAAATCCTTAATGTGTATCTTAATTACCCCACATGTTTATGCTATGTACCGCCTGTTGACTGCTATATTAATTTATGTAATTAATTGCATCGACTCCTGATCTTAGGGATCCAAAATATAAGCTCCTTATTGTCAGGAGCGGATCCATAGTATCATTACCGCGCTGAAACTGTGTTAGCCATGATTTTGATTCTTGCAATTGGACTGTTAACTACGGTCTTATTATTTGATTTATTGGATTATATTGCGATTATTACTTGGAATCATCTTGCCGTTAATTTAGTGATTGTATATAATAGTGATGTGCGTAAAGATAACTTAAGTTTCATTTCAAGATATGAGGAAGGATATTACGCTACCAAAATATATAGACTTTATATAAAGAGTGCAAAATATGAATATAACCGCTCGGTCGGTGCTATAAAAGGATTATATATTGCAATAACCACAGCTAAAGTTTGTCTTGCTTATTAATAACAAATAGCTATCTAGCGTAAATAAAGTGTCGCGAAAATATAGTAATCTAAAGTACCGTAAATGGTGTACGATATGATTTTCCAACAAGTTAACATATACTTAATCAAGCACTTTCTAAACGTGCTTTATATGAATTACACAAGGCATTAAGCAATGTACTTGATTTAACAGAAGGTGCATTCTGCAAAAGCTGCTAAATAGACTAGAAATATGTCCATAGGACATGAATGCCCCGCCGAGGGTATATTAGTAATGCAACATTTTAACACAAATTGAGAAAAGTGAGGTCAAGGTCAAAGGAAAGGTCAAGGTGAAAGAATATTGATGCAGTTGAATAGCTTACATCAGTATGTATCAGCATATGAAGTTTGACACTAATTTAAGTAAAGTGAGGTCAAAGGAAAGGTCAAGGTCAAAAATTGTTGATGCAGTTGAAAAGGCTACATCAGTATGTATTAGCATATGAAGTTTGATAAAAATATTATGAATGGTTTCTTTAAAACTGAGCTAAACACTAATTTAAGAAAAGTGAGGTCAAGGTCAAAGGAAAGGTCAAGGTTAAAATATTGATGCAGTTGAGTAGCTCTCATGTATCAGCATATAAAGTTTGTTAAAAATATCTTGAATTGTTTCATTAAAACTGAGCTAAACACTAATTTAAGAAAAGTGAGGTCAAGGTCAAAAGAAAGGTCAAGGTCAAAAAATGTTGATGCAGTTGAATAGCTTACATCAGTATGTATCAACATCTGAAGTTTGATTACACTATCTTGAATGGTATCTTTAAAACTGTGCTAAACACTAATTTGAGAAAAGTTAAGTCAAGGTCAAAAGAAAGGTCAAGGTCAAAAAATGTTGATGCAGTTGAATAGCTTACATCAGTATGTATCAACATATGAAGTTTGATTACACTATCTTGAATGGTATCTTTAAAACTGAGCTAAACACTATTTTAAGAAAAGTGAGGTCAAGGTCAAAAGAAAGGTCAAGGTCAAAAACTCTATCAGCATATGAAGTTCGATAAAAATATCTTGGATAGTTTCTTTGAAACTGAGCTTTGAACAGAGCTAAACGCAAAGTGTGACAGAAGGACAAACGGAAGGACAGAAGGACGGAAGACGGACATGACAAACACTATATGCCCCGGCCATATTCATGGCGGGGCATAAAAATACAGCTACATGTAAATGTATTACGTTTACAATATTTTCAGTAAAGTTTAAGAATTGTAATAATGAAGGGGGATTGAAACGAAATTATGCAGCCTATTTATATATACATCTGTCAGTTTCTAATGGTTAAATGTTCAAATTACCCATTACCCATTATTTTCCTATAAGTGTTAAAATTTTAAGAAACCTCAATGAAAGTAGATGATTCCACAAGTTTAATTTGCATCTTTTCGTTGACAATGCCTGAAAACTATTTCATAGTTGGTTATTATAACTGAATGACCAATAAATCACAAGAAATATTAGATATTTATTACAATTCAAATATGGTTCACACAATTGATAATTTAAGACAGTAATTTGTTCAGTACTGAATTAATCAAATGTCACTAATGTACACGATTTCAGTGGTGCCTGTGATCTGGTTGTCGTGGTCTTGGTGCTGATTTGATGATATCATCTACACGTAGAATCATTTCAGCGGCCTCTGATGCGCTCATTAAAACCTGACGCTTCACCTGGAAGGATTCTGTAATGCCTAACTTCTCCATATCACCCACCTCACCATCAACCATATCTACAAAAACAAATACACTAAATGAGCATAAATCTCTAAGCCTAAGATATGGTCATGAGAAATTAAGAGGTGTATTTTAACATTTATATTTTCTTAATTCAAACCACAGTTTGCTTCTTTGGATTTTTTTGAAAGAAAACATGAAAAATATCTGAGTAACTGCTACGCCTTATGTAACACAATTTGCCCAAAACGTGGGATGATTTTTGTATTCATGTTTTTAATCAATATCAAATGTGTTAAAATTCTCATCAAAATATTTTCCTGTAGCATTTTAGTCATCAAAAGCAATAATATCTATTAATTAACCTAATCTGTCTTCAAATCAAATTCACTTGCTGGTTCAAATAAATAATTTGCAATTTCTCCATTTCAAAAGATGAAAAAATATAAATGTTCAAAAGTTTTACTCATCAGAATTAAGTAAGTATACAGAAAAAATGAATTGAAATTAGGACCAGGATATTATTTATTTTCTATAATATATAACAATTTAATACTATTGTACACGTATATTCTTTTTGTTGCTTTTTTTCCATGCATTTATTTACCCATTTATCCCTGCCCCCTCCCCCAAACCACAAAATATAAATGTGATGATTAATCTGAAGAAAAATTCTTATTTGAGAAGCTCAAGATTGAAGACACCCTAAATTTAAATTTAACATACTTAATCCCATGGTGTGTTTTCCTGCTGTGTGGATTGCCCTCAGCTCTGAGATCAGCTGGGCACTGTCATATCCTGCATTGTCTGCTATAGTGGTGGGAAGCTGAAAATTACACATATAAAAGAGAAAGTGTGAAAGATAACAAAAGTCAGAAACAATGTCAAATGTTTTTGCACAAATAAACCCTACTCAAACTCAACAGGTGAGCTTACAAAATACAATAAAATAAAATAATATACAGTTGAACTTAAGTATCTTGAACACAGATATTCCGAATACATGTACCTTGGATATGTCGGAGTCACTTGTGGGACCCAACAACTTTTTCTTTATGTATTTTAACCTCATCTCAAATCTTGGGATATCTCAAAAGTTTTTTCTATGTCTCACTGAGTTCGAGATAATAAGGTTTGACTGTATACTTAGATGTATGGCATAAAAATTGAAAATTATGTACCATTCTTAATGCCTTAGCAAAGGACTCCATGGCAACAGCTTCTTTCCCAGGAGTCTTTGCAGCCAATTTAGAGACAGCATCTGCCATTAGCATTTCTGAACTTCCTGTAAAACAAAGAAACTTAATATTAAACACTCTTTCTTTTGTTAAGTGGCAGACATATATAATTTTGTTGCTTGTTGCAAGAAATTTAATAAAAAATTTAAGAACACAGAAATCTTATTTTCTATGTAAACCTTTCAATGAAGATCTCTTGACACTCTATTAAAGATTTCAAACACAATTTTGTGAGAAAAAAAATTCCAATAATTTGTTGCAGTAAAAATTCATGTCACACATCTTGAATGACTTTGTAATTATGATCTTGATTTACACAGGTCTATATATGCATGCAACAGTTAAAAATGATTAATAAATAGATAAATTATTCCAACAATCAATGGACCACAAATCCTTTTAAATCCCAAAATAAGGATGACCTTAAAGATTTATGACCTTTAGTAGGGGAAGTTCATTATTTCATGTGGCATGGGCAGAAAGTAATTGCAGCGCTAAGTCCAACTAACCTCCACCAAACACCGTTTTGGTTTCCTTTACAGTCTGCGTTAGAACACAAAGGGCATCATGGAGTGACCGTTCAGCCTCATCAAGAATCTGTTTGGTGGCGCCTCGTAGAACAATGGTGCAGGCCTCACCCATCTCCACACCTAAATAGCAATCCATAAAATCTCATAAGTTCAGTATATTAGTGTTCCTGACCTTCTAAAACATTCCAAATGTGAGTATGTAAAAGCTCTGAAAAAATATTTTTAGACACTAAAAGCAAAAAAAAAACTATTGGATTTTTCTCTAAACAATTGGATGGGTTTGTTAATGTAATACATAAATATTTGTCCTACCTGAGAACTTGATTAACTTGTCCTCCCCAATCATCACTTCCTCTATAAGCTTACACTTGCCCAGGCGAACATGGTCAGGGGAGTCAAATGTGGACACAATTTCACCACCTGGAAATATATGTTTTTTATCCTGTAACTTTTAAAATGCAAATTTTTATTCAGCTTTCACTGTTTTTTTAATTAGTTTTAGAATTGTACAATGAATGCATTTACTAGAACTGCCAAAGAGCCCCCTTTTGCATATGAAACTATGTTTTAATGAAACGAAAGGCCCATGGGCCACAATGCTCACCGGAGTCACACTTGCTCTGCTCTTCTTGAGAAGACTCAGAAACTTTTTTTATCCTTTATATTCCTTGCAACTTCGTATGAGTAATCAGGCCCTGACAGTTCTAATCAACTTTTATCTATACATTCCTAGCAAAAAATTTATAATCCCAACCCTTCCTTGGGATAGTCTATTCTAATCTCTTGATCTTCACTTCCTGAGGATACTTGAATATCAATATGAACAATCATAAGCCTGCCATTCCTGAGAAGATTTTTTAAAGGTTTTCTACTAAATATTTCAATGTAAAACTTTGATCCCCTATTGTGCCCACCCTATCCCCAGGGGCCATTATTTGAACAAATTTGAAAGGCCCCATCCTACCCCTGTGTTGAGGGCTATAATTTAAACAAAACTAAATGGGCACTATCCAAGAATACTTGCATATCCATATAATTGATCATGGCCCTGCTGTTCTTCTTCAGATTTCAAAATTTTACTAAATAAAACTTAGATCCATTAATTCCACCCTGCCTCTGGGATCCATGATTGGAACAAACTTGATTATGCACTAATTGAGAATGATTGCATTTTAATATCACGTATCACTACTTTTTTCTGTATTTCTGTATATTTCCATATAAAACTTTGATTCCTTTAGTGTGGCCCCATCCTATCCCCCGTGGCCATGATCTGAACAAACATTAAACTGAATTTCCTGATAATGTTGGCATATTCAAATCATTAACCGTGGTCTTTCTGTTCTTAAGAAGAAAAAAATTTTTGCAATATATTCCTATCATGTAAAAATTTGATAGCTCAGTGGCCCCACCCTACCCCGGGGTGCAATGATTTGAACAAAATTGAATCTGCAATACCTGAATATGCTTGCATTTAACTAATTATAGCTCTGCTGTTCTTGAGGAGACTTTTATATATTTTTTCCTATGTAAAACTTCAGTCACCTATTGTGGCCATACCTTACCCCCAAATCCCGTACCCCCAACCTCGCCCTCCAACCCTAACCGTGATTTGAAAAAAATTGAATCTACACTTTGTCAGGATGCTTTCAAATAGGTTTTTAAGTTTTCTAAACCAATGGTTCTTGAGAAGTAGAATTTTAAAAGCTACCATCTTATTTTCATAAATTCTTAATCATCTCCCCTTAAAAAGAGAGTGTGGTTGTGGTCCTTCAGTTGAACAAACTTAAGTCCCCTTCACCCAAGAATGCTTTAAGGCAAGTCCATTGAAATTTACCCAGTGGTTCTATAAAAGAAGTCAAAAATATAAGAAGTTTACAGACAATTAAAACACAACACACAGCAGTCAGCTGGTCAGACAGACAGACAAATGGACAGACAAATGCCAGACATTCTTTCATCAGAAAAGCCCACATGAGCCTTTGGCTCAGGTGAGAAACAGACTTGGGCAATATTAATACTGCCTATTATATACTTGTTCATAAGAATTAATCCTGACCAATAATAGTACAAAAAAAACTACCTACCAGTGACTAATGCTAGCCTCTCTATTCCCTCAAAATCAGCATGCTCAATGGCCATCACACCAGCATCAGCAAACAGCTGCTCAGGGTAGTTATAAATTAATTGCCTGTAAGGATGAAATCACATTTGAACTGTGCCATCTAGTACACCAAATACAAGGAATACCAGAGATACCTGTAGGGCAAAGGAAACTTTCATTCTCAACTTTGAAATTTTAAATATTTGCATATCTCTTTTTTGTAATCCCCAAAGTTTGAGATGCCAAGGTCTTACTCTATAATGTTCTATATTTTCTGTTTCTGTATGCAGAGACTCATTCGTTACGACAACTTTGAAAAGTTAATTCCTTCAACAAAAAATATAAAAGTGCATGAAATATTTGAAATGTTCGGCACTTACCTATTGATGAACACATTACAGCCATGCTTTACAATTTTGTTAACTTTATCCCTCATCTTCTCTTTTTCGGCCAATTCTAATTCTGCTACTTTGGAAACAGCATCTACTTTCACTTTGCTTCCAAACACCTACAAATTTTTTAATATATTGTATGTCGAGAAGAAATGCTAATGGTAAATCTAATAGTTCTATGTGGAAACAAACAATAATTTATTAAGTTTATAATCAGTCAGTATTTAAACCTTGGAAATTTTAAATATGCCCAGGACACTTTATGGTTAGCAATATTCAATTGCCATTATTTAAGAAAGCAATAGCACTTCATGATAGATATGCAGGTGTGAAGCATTGTAGTTCATGTATCTCATGAATTCTCAAAAATTAAGTTCATATCTTATATTTGCCTTATTTTCCTGATGACTTGCCACATATTTTTGTCATTTAAAGATCTTTTTTTAAAAAAAAAAAAAAAAAAGACTTTGCACTATTTTTTTTACTTCAATCACATCACAATGGAAATATTCTTACTCATCCCACAGTAGTTCATGAGAACATGAACTTTTTCTAATTTGCAAAGAATCTTAAGGAAAATTATTTGGAAATGTACATATTTGAAAATCTGTACCTTGATTTTATCTGTGTCCATGGGTGTGTTAGCTATTAAAATTTTGGCATTCTCTATCCTCTTGGGTTGGTTAACACCTATCTTCTTATCCAAGAGAAAACCTTAACAAAATACACAGAATATTCTCAGTTTATGCACTGCAAAACCTTGAAAGCATCTTTAAAACATTTTTCAAAATTTTATGGATATCTTCTAGCAATCAAAATGCATTGATAATATTGCAATTAAACATATAAGCCAATGTCATCAGTTACAGTTGTGCCCAAAATACTTAAATATTGCTCTCTTTAACAAAACCTCGCATTCATTACCTTCAATGGTATACTGAGCTACACAAAAATCAACCAAACTCACCTTCATCTAAGTATGAGTCTTGTAAGCCACCTCCAGATTTCTTAATGAGGTGAATGGCATCTAAATTACCACTGCCCTATAAAGGATTAAAATTTTTGTCAGTTATAACCAGCTACTGTAAATCACTTTTTATTTTACTTTACTGTCACATAATTACATGAGTCTGTCTGCTCCATAAAATTTTCTCGCTGGTATTTATAATGTTAAAGGTTACAAACAATGAACACAGCTTGCTAAAATTTTCTCTCATAAAAAACCAAACAGCTATCTTGTGCAAGTAAGGTGTCGCAAAAACATAGTGATCAACAGTATATAATATCTTACCTATACAAAATTACTTAGATATTTTAACCATATTTTGCAACCATAGACTTAGGTTTTCAAAACCCAGTATATATTTTCTGACGAAAATAACTAACAAATTGAATAATACCTTATAAATTATTACTGAAGTTTTACATTTTCGTCTTTTGCAAGAACATTAACTCTTACTGTTTACATATAAAAAAAATCATGCCACATAACTTAACAATGTGGTGCAAAGGACTTGAACCCCAGGAAATTAGTTTAAATTAGTTTTATAGACAATTTCCTACTAAAATCAATACTACATTTCTTGTTGTACCTTTAACCTTAGAACTGCATCTACAGCCAGTTTAGAGAAGTGGTCTTTATACTGAGTGAGGATTTTGGAGCTGAGGGTTGTACGAGCAATGTTCATCAAGTCCTCTCGAAACTTCTTCTCATTATTCCTGAAAAGGAAAATCAACATTCAAATGCTAAATAATAAACTGAAGTATTTTTGTCAGATTCGATACAATACTTTTTCAAGAAATACACCAGTTCCTCCATTATGGTTTTTATCAAAAATCATTGCAAATTATTTACATTTCTGTCAGACAATTTATCAACATACACTGTATTTCACTGCCATGACTTTCTCAGTAATGCAAACCAGAATAACTTGTCATATTGGTGGGGAAAAAATATATATAAGAAAATAGAAACAAAGAAGCAGCCATGCATGTTAATGTCTACTGATCTTACTTGGTGATTATGTACAGAGAGGGTGAGGTTCAATAGTGATGTAAAAACAAAGTTACCCATTATCTCTGGCAAAATTCTGTAGTGCCTTCCTGGCCTCATCTGTAGCCTTCCTCCATCCAGATATAATGGTCTGGGGGTGGATCTTTTGGGAGATTAATGACTCAGACTCCTACAACATTCACGCAAAAATCAACAGGAGCATTCCCTTGCTCCAGCAAATGTAATAATATATAATGTTACTTAGGAAAAACTGCAAAATCAGGCAAAATTCTTCCATCTTTAATGTCTAAACCATAAAAACAATATGAAAAAGTAACTTCAACAGGGTTCTCCTTAAGAACTGATGTAGCAGGAGACATTAGTAGAAGGGGGTCTGGGATTCCTCCCCTAAAGGGGGTTGAGGGGGCATACCAGAGTATCCAGGGGGATAACATTATAGACAGGGATATTCCCTGGCCCCTGGGTCTTACTTAGGGACAACCCTGCTTTAATTTTTCTCAAAGAATACATGTATGCAGATTTTGAGATCAGCTAACATCATGATTATCCTGAATCAAACTTATTATTTTTTTTTAAATCTTTGGGACATCAATTGGAACCTAAATCATTAGTGCAAATAAAATTTTACCATGAAAAATAGCAAGATTCTTGATACTCTAAGCATTAGTAATATATTAGTCTCAAAAGAATGAAACAGGGGCCTTACTCTCAATAATTCACTAGCCAGGACTACTACAGATGTGGTCCCATCTCCAACCTCATCATCCTGCACTTTGGAGATATCTAAAAAATAATCCACAAGTTATTAGTATGTTTACTTTTCCATTCATCCCTCTCTCTCTCTCTCTCTCAAACACATACATGTCAAAGCTTTGTTATACTCATGTTTCAACTCAATTCTAATACAGTTAAATGAACTTGCTTTTCAGATTTTTTAAGACAGCTCTCTCTGTCTCTCTGATCTGATCAAATGCTAGCTTGAAGTGTAGACAATTTTCTCATATTTCTGTCACATTGTGTATAAACTTGCGAAGTCTTAAAACGAGACAAAGTAAAATTTTGCTTCCTAACCATACTCTTCGTAACATTTGAACATTTACTTGTACTTTGCAAAAATAAAATTTAGGATTTTCAATGATACTGTTTTCAGAATTTGATAAGGAATATCAAAGTTAAATGAATAAAATACACGTAACTTAAGAAAAAGGAAAGTTTTCAACTTTCTTAAAAAGAGAACAAATAAAACACTCAAACATATTTGTTTACTTTCAATAAAACAAGTCATCAATATCACCACATCAGCTCCTGATTCGAGTTCTATCAATGCGAGTTCTATCAATCCATGCTCTGATTGGTCAACTGTTCTCATTAAATATTCACAAGAACAAACAACTGTTATCTGATGCAGCCATGATTTTTTTAAGTGTGAGAGCAAATTGAAATCTATGCCTTTTAACAGTGTAAAATGTTAAATAAATTTAAGTAACTTACCCACTAAGATCTTTGCTGCTGGGTTGTCAATGCCTATAGATTTTAGAATTGTGGCTCCATCATTTGTGACTTGTATTCCACCAGAGCTTTGTAATATTTTGTCCTGTTAATCATATTATTAGCAATTTACACCTGTTTTGACTTATTTGATAAGAAGTTTGCTTTTCATAGAAGATCTGAAGTACATTAAATAGAAAGTTCTGCATGTATATAGTACAAGAATTAATATTTATATATTTTTTACATTTGAAAAAAAATGAACTTTTGTTCTGTTGGAGAAAAACAATTATTTGTGCAAAGCCCTGCAAATTTAAAAAAGAATTTTTCCCTGTATTGTTCTTTATCAAAGGGTACTCTAGATTCCTTACTTTTCACCAGTACTTAATATTGTGGAATGACTCTTAAACATCAAATTGCACATAAATTCACAATTGGTCTGTTGGTCAAAAATTTTTACATGCATTTAAGCAGCATAAAAGTAAAAAGTGAGAATTTTTACTTCACTTGTGGTGCTTCTGAAATTGTGTTAATAAATTCCTTGCATCTAGGGCTGTCACGGTTCCAAAATTTTTCGGGTCGGTTCGGTTCTGTAAATTTTCGGGTTGGTTTCGGGTTTTTTGGGTCGGGTATTTACATCTATTTTAAACCTTAATTTAATAAATTTAACTTGAAAAATATTTATTTGTTACATTAAAGGACAAGGTGCATTTGGTGCAAAATTCGGCCCCGTGTCAAAATTAAATAATACTTCTCAAAACTCTTTGAGAGAGTATATATTTTCATGAAATTATCAATATATACATGTACAAAGCTTTATTTTTGTTTTATGTAAACGTAAAGGTAGCATAGTTTAAGATAACGTTGTGATATTTTGACGTTGCTTTATGCGACGTCATGAACAGGAATTTACCGTCATGTTTTAAAATAAATCCAGCTTACCTGTATATTTTATTATGTACGTTAATTAAATCTCATTTTCATAAACGTACATTTCGATGTATTGGTATACATGTGATAGCATATCATCATCATGTTTTCTAAATTATTTTTCATAACTAAAGACAAATCTTTAAATCAATTGGTATGGTTGGCTTTGAAAATTTTTGAATCATAAGGGGAAAATATATAAATGTATATGTACAGTACATTCTTAGCGGATTTCTCACTTTCCGCGCCTCGCATTGACACAAGCAAAGTTATTGGCTCTGTTTGTTAACTTGACGAACTGTAATTGCCAAACTTTGCAAAAAAGACTTAAAGACCGTAAGACTTTTTCTTGGATTTTGATTGCAGGTGTTCAAGAAAATTATTTTGTGTGTAATACTATGTCAGTAAGATTTTGGTCTTCCTGCTTATCTGCATTAAATTTAAAAAATAAATAAATAAATAAATAAAAACACAGTTTACTTCTCCGCAAATGCTTGACATTGCTTTTCTGTGGATTGATTTACATAAGTTTAACTGTGTCTATATTATAATACTTTATTTACGCTGTCCAGAGGCAGAGCCCATTCTTGAAAAAAGGAATGCATGCGAACCTTCGTTTATTCTTTTCTTTCAGCAGTTTCGGAAACATTCCAACGTCGAATTATCAGCTATGAATATCATTTTTTTTTCTCAAAAAATGCAGCTTGTTCCGACACGAATATATTAGGATCTACGGGTTATTGAACAGACAGCATGTTTTAACGATGTTTTAACTTTCACATTAATTCATCCCCGTGGTGGACAAGGAGCAAAAGGTACTACCTGGTTCATAGAGGATTTCGCGGAAAAGAAAAGAAAACACTAGTACTTCACGGTAAAGAAGGATTTTTCGTGGAAAAGCAATGTCGACTCGCGGAAAAATTTAACAGCGCAATTGAGGAATTTTCCTGTAATTTTTCCCAGAAAAGGGAGTGAGGTGTTCCATACCAACTCAAAACAAAAAAAAAGATCGACCCAAAGGAGAAAACCTTTTTTTAAAAAAGAAAACTAACCCCAACCCATCCTTGCAAGCCAGGGGTCCTGAGTCAACACGCTGCCGTTGGACCCCTGGCATATTTCATTCAATATTCGTGGGCTTGCTTCTCTCATTGAGAAGCACCAATCAAATTAAAGTTTTCATAAATAGTTAGATAAGGATTCAGTTGACACCTCAAATGCACGTGTTACAAGTTGTTTATCATAGAATGGCTTAATGTGATTGTCGCTAAAGTCAGCCCACAAATATTGAATGAAATATGCCAGGGGTCCAACGGCAACATGTTGACTCAGGATCCCTGGCTTGAGAGGATGACCCCAACCTGAAATACCTATTTTGAAAGGGGGTGTCACTTTACCTTCCTACATATCATATAAACTTTACAAAGTTTTCTTAACCCTTCCCCCTTCATATTTTTTGTATTTTTACTGTATGAATTTTATACAAGTGGTGGGTGTTGGGGTGGGGTCCGGAACCCCTCCCCCTGCGGATCCTTACTACTTCCTCTAAGTAATTGATACCTTTGTGACGACAACTTACGCAAGCGGGTGTTTCAAGGAAAAAAACAACATTTTTTAGACTTTGAGAACATTTTATCATATAAAGATTACATTATGAACTAATCTAGATTATTTCAAGGATAAAGTGCCTGCCTTAAATTATTTTCCCAGGAAAATTGTTCAAAGACAATCAAGATTTAGTGAACAGATTTCACTGTAATTTACTTATATCGGTAATCAATATGTAAATACTGTATTCAATTACTTTATCTTGGTCTAATATAATGTTAAGAATCCCTCAATTTAATATTGTGAACCTAAGTTAACCCTTGAAAGTAGATGACCCTTTTGTTCATAACAAACAGAAAGCAATATTAATTTTATTTTGTTATTCAGGGAAAGGAAACAGACAGTACAGTTAATACTTTTTACATGTTTTATGGGGGGGGGGGGGGGGGTCTATTCAATGAGAACTTTGATTACATGAAATATTTAGAGTCCCTGTATCACATATTGTATAGGCGTAGAAATTAAAGCAAAATAGTTCTATATTCAGTTATTAATTAAATGTATATTTTCAAGATGACAAAAATTAAAAAAAGGGAAAAAAAGTGTCGTGGGAAAAGTATTGTGTTCATCGTGGTAACGAATTTCAAGTAAACCTTTACCATTTATACGTGTAAGGGGAGGTTAAGATTTTTTCGACATGAATTGAAACATTTTTTCAATTCAAATCAGCATTGAAACTACGTGCCTGAACGTTACGTGTGGATAAACTGAGAGTATGAACAGATTAAACAAACAAAATGTACACAAGGAAAAAAATCCGAAACAAGGGAGGGGGTTGGAGACGCCCGGCACGCCGGTGCTGGATCCGCCTTTGAATACATATATATTATTATAACAGTAACTCGATCCGAAGAGCCGTATCACGCCTCAAGATTACAGGCGCGGATCATCAGATCAAACGAAACGCGGTGCCTGATGATCAGCACCGTGGAATCTATTTCATAATAAATCCGATGCTCTTAAAAAAAAAACTAACTGAAGTTACTGATAAACATTTATGACAATCTAGATTATGTTCGGAATTGATCTACATTGCACATATTTTATACTGAGAGGCACACTGTTAAATCTATTGTGATATTTTGCCAATTTAATTGTCTTCTATCTTGGAAACTTAGCCTCTAATTTTCACTATAATAGCTCAAAAAATCACATCCAGTGGAGTAGCTGCCATTAGACACTTAAGGCACGTGCCTACACTTGATTTTTTTTTCAGAAAAAAATTAGAAACAAAACTGTATAAAAGAAAGAAAATGATAGTTAACCGACAGTTTCACTGTGGGACTTTTTATAAAATGTCTTGAAAATTTCTATATGCAAGTACATGTCATTAAATATAGATATAAAACTCCCCTGACGCTCACAATTAACTTTTTTATGGCTGTCCACCCGAATTTACCACTTCTTTGTGGGTAGACTAGATTAGCTTTTTTTCTGGAAAAAAATCTTTTTTTTTTCATTATTTATTGTAAAACATTTCTTTGAGTCTGATTATTTTTGAATACTTTTTTAATAACTTTCTTCTTCATGTTCTAAATTTGATTACGCCGAAAAAAATATTAAAACTCTTCTAACTAAAGATTTCTGGTTAAAAAGTTGGACTGCACTTTCTTAGCTTTTCTACTTAATATGAAATTTCATTTTAAAGAGACCCAGAATTTTGTAGTTTAAATGCCCAGAATTTGTCACCCAGGGGTCTTAAAATCGTGAAATCCATTTTCCGTCGGGGGGCTTCCCCCCCCCCCCTGAACCCCCTACCAAGGCGCTGCCCTGGACCCGCTGGGGGCCTTGAGCGGCTTCCAGACCCCTCGCCGCACACAGAATAATTTGTGCCTATACTTCATCAAAGTTCTAGCTACGCCCCTGATATCCAAGTACATGTAAATGGTCCATTTTCCCAACAGGTCAAATAGATCGGGGAAACCATTGTGACGTCAATTTTCAAAAATGACGTATAATTGCTTTATACTGTTCTGCTTGACATGAATATGGACACAGGCACTGGGTAATAAATAAACTAAATGTAAAATGATATTTATACGACAATTGTAAATACTGCATTTTTTGTGAACTGCTACTTTTTTCAACCACCTAATGTCAATCTAACTCGTACCACTGTCGTTTGGTTAGGGAGCGCGGAAGTAACTAAAGATGCTATATACTAATATAGGCCCAAGGTATCTGAATTTGAACAACGTGTAAAGAATTAATACAGACCAGATCTTCATAACATTGATATGATGATTTCATTCTTTATATTAAAGGATTTTTAGCGATACGTGGCGAGGTATATTCTCAATATTATTTAGATATAGCAAAACACCGTCGAATGCATGTGTATATGCATGCTGTAAAATGAACACATTTTTTAAAAATAAACATGGTCCGCACAATATCACCATCGTAATTTTTTGCATATAAGATGCTTTCAAATTGATGTTTCATTTGTGAAAATTACAAAGTGGTGATATAATGCGGACCTATCGAAAAATGCTTTTAAGTCCCTGATTTTTAACGATTTTTCCGGAAATACGCATTCCGTGCATGATTTGACCACGAATAAACAGTATACAGGGGACACATTCTCAAAGTTTGGGTTTATTTTTTTAACAAGCATGTATCCAACCTTTATTTTCAATGTAAAGTTTTGATTCAGCGTAAACTTTAATTTTTAGAAATTCTCAGGGCCAAATATTATATCAAATGAACCTTGTCCTTTACATTGAAAACAAGTCTTAACCATGCGAACGTCTAGAAATCGGTGACTTGGCCTACTATTAGCCACAACCTGACCATTCCTGCTCGTTTTGATAATTATCTAATACTTCCGTGACAAGTGTTTCGTCATGGAATGAAGTAGATTTAAGTTGTGATGTTTATTTATCACTGTTATCGTCATCATTCCTTTGATTTCGACGCCATTTTTTGTATTAAACAGACTCTAATATATAAACCAGACCCGAACCAAAATCCGGAAAAATGGAACCGGAACCGAAGCGAACAACTTGGACCGCGGTTCTCGGTTATTTTAGGTACTCGTGACAGCCCTACTTGCATCTTATTAGGAATCTACAGTATTTCAAAAGGATGGCTTACTTTAACTCAAAAATTCAACAACAAAAACTTACCATTCCCTTAGGTCCCAGTGTGCTTTTCACCAGATCACCAATAGCAATAGCTCCCACAAAGGAGGACTGGTAGACAGAACATTATACAATATAATATTAGCTGGCAAAGTTTTCCCAATAATTTTCACATTATTATTACTAAATGATCAATTTTTTGATTTTTGAAAATAAAAACTGGTAGACCAATCTAAGACCTTTAGTCAATTCTTTAGTAAAAAATATTTTTTGTCCATATTTTAAAAAGAGCCTTTCACATCATTTTACAATGAAATCTAATAAAAATGGCTAAAAAAATAGTTTATTGGGGGTAAAATTACCTCATTTTGTTGAGGAAACTGCATCTATTTGGTTGTGATATTGGGGTCATGAAAAACACTTCTTTAATTGATATTATAAATAACCTATTTCTATCATTTACCAATCTGGCAGTTTCTGCCTTTTCCTCTTCTGCCCCTGCATTGAAGATCTGTACCGGATTCAAAGACACCTTTCAAATAAAAGTGTGAGAACTTAGCCTTGTTTACAAAAGGAATATGGTTTGATTTTCTGACATACCTTACAATTAAGTAAAGCTCAATTCATTTTTTTTATACAAAATATATTTTTCTGTAACCTCAAAACAGCAAGGAAAAATAGGGAACTTTATAAACAAGACAAGAGGAAATTCAAAATAGGCTTTCTCATGATGTCTTTTGCCAGTGTACTGGTTTACAAACATTCCAAATCTGTTTAAAGATTAATCATTTAACAAACCCAATTATTGGATGCATTTAACATTAAGCAGTGTTAAGCATGTTGTCTTTGTTGAGGAAAAAGTTACGAAAATATTGAAAATGTTATTCTTTGTTTGCTGATGATCATAATGAAAATATCCATTTAAAATAATTGAAAATATGCAACACAAAGTTTGGAAAAGTTTCTGCTGAAAAAAATAAGCCAGAGTTTACTGAGACTAAAGACAATTCAGAGAGCGTGTGAAATCATGTTTTTAATAAAAAGCACATGGTTACCATGCGTCATGATGTTTCAAGCAAAAAAAGAAATATAAAATGTACATTTTATTTTAAAAGAAAAACTTAAGTTTCGAATTAAGCGATAAACAGATAATAGTCAAACCATTATTCTTTTGGAAAAGGTGTCCTTTCTTCACAATTAGAGCCAAACTGTATAAACAAATCCAAAATATCTCGAAGCTTCCCTTCGGATTTCAAGCTATTTCCGGTTATATATTTCCTTACCCCGAGCCCGATTTTTAAACAATTATTTTAAAAAGGGAGAGAGGCAGTTTTTTCCCCCCTTGATTTTGAACAAAAAGTGTCAGTATTTTTTAGATTAAACAAGCCCGTAGAACGCGGGGGCCAAGGGGCCCGGTCCCCACTTTTTTCTGAGTATAGTATTTTGCTATACTAAATTTTCCTTTTGACCCCCCCCCCCACTTTTTGATGTTGTAAAGTCGAGCACTGACAAATTAAAGGATTTGGACAGTAATTTTTGTTTTTGGTTTTGTTTTTTTTTTTAGCTTGTCAGATAATTTTGGGAAGTCCCCCACCACTCAGTTTATTTTTTTATTCTTTTTTTTTTTTTTTTTTTTTTTTTTTTTTTTTTTTGAAGGGGGAGGGGTTGCCCCTCCCCCACTTTTGATACTGTTGCTGCGGCCCTATTAGATACAGATATGGCATAGAACTGCCTCAGTAAAAGCTTGAGCTTTAACTGTGTTTAAAGGAATTCGAAAAGACCCTCGTTTATTTTATTATTATAAATATTACTATTTCCAGTTAGAATTTACCATTGCTAATGCACATTCAGGATTTGTTTTCATTGTTTATACTTAGTATAAGAATATACTATTCATATAGGACAAATAGATGAAGTGACTTGATGACTTTTGGACTGTGGGTTTGAACAATTTATATTTATTACTGCTGACTATAAAACAGCTAAACAATTTAGCCACATTGATTTCTTGATAGAATAGAAATAAACTGTGGATTTTGATCCCTATATATTGGTGTAATAAAGCTGTTAAAGTATCACATTGCAGGAGTTATCAAGCTACTAGCTATAGATGCAATAGATGCCATGGTTCCGTTTGCGAATGAGGTATAATTATTTCCGTCGCCATCGAAAATGACATGATCCATCGATCCATCCGATCATGCGGTATATCATATTTTAAGTTCAATTTAGTTACACAATGGGCTTTTCATTTGAAGAGTCTTTTGTCCCACAAAATTAAAGCCCGTAATGTAATTTTTTTTCAAGATCAGACCACAGGTACTTGTGGACAGGAACCCCCCCCCCCCCGAATATATACCTTGGTTCCAAGGAAATTTTTTATTCGTCTTTTTCCATAAATTAATCTTCTAGTACACATTTACAATGTATTCCATATGAAAAATCCAAAAAATAACGCAGAATTAACGTTTTATTAAAAAATCATACCCGCGGTATTATAAAACAAAGCTCTATGTTATAATACCGCGGCAATGATTTTTTTTTTTTAATAAAACGTTAAGTCTACTTATTATTTTTGGATTTTTTGATGCTTACTTATATATATATCTAAAGCCACATATTTCAGCAGGAATGGATCCAAGAATTTTTGTTGGGGTAACATAAAGCATATTTTCAGAGGCTTCTTAGGGGGTCTGGGTGCCAACGAACAAAGCCCTGGTGTCGATCTAGGGCGGGTGTTTAGTCCCTCAAAGATTATAAAGAAGATGGACGAACGAGGCGAGCGCAATGATTCTAGTGCAACAACCATGAAGGTAAAAATTAGATCTCAATTATAACCAAATTTTCTTTGATATTTCATCTTAGATTAAAGTATACTTTATGTAAAATCTCCACAATTTGCAAAAATCTCACTATGATTGAAATTATTTGCCTATGAAATAGCATCACAAAAGGATCAATTTCCTATGCTAAAACATAATTTTTCGGTATGAGTGTGTCCTCGGTCCATATTTTTCAAATTTTGATAAAAAATGTACATTTTTGGGTCAACAAAAACATGGAACAAAGACCCACTATACCTTAAAAATACACTTAAAAGACACAACAATCGCATCTTTCCGAGAAATACTTGAAGTCCATTTGTCAAGGGTCACATCACAGACATGATTTAAATGCCACAATTTATCATGAGTTGTGTAGCGTATAGTGGTTAGTTTCAAAGGAAAATGATACTCAGGATTTTTATTGCTAGGGTACTGCACCCCACGAATACCACATTAATTTTTAATAACATAATAATATTGGCGAGAAAATTTTCCTCAGAAAAGTTTTTTTTAATTATAATTTCATAATTTTCAATAATGAGAACTTTACTATAAATACGAAATTCACAAATTGATTATTTTTTTATATATCTGATGCTATAGGCATTCTGCGCGCCTTGTTCACCCATCCCCTTACAGATTGATTGACTGATTGTATGTTGTTTTACGTCCCGTTCGAGAATTTTTCATTCATATAGAGACGTCACCATATTTCGGTGAAGGGCTTCAAGTTCAGACCTTTACTCGGCACTCAGGGCCATGCACTGAGTCGATTGGCTTGCCTGTCTGATATGCGCGATATACATTATATATTCGAACGATAGAGACAGGCAATACCAGTCTAAGCCACTGAGCAGTGAGGGTTCTTTATCGTGCCAACGCCTACCGTAACACGGGGTGGTCTCGGTTTTTAAGGTCTCATCCGAAAGACCCGCAATTTTCACTTCAAAGTACCGAGCGCTTGGCAAAGGAACAGTTGCTACCTATTTTTTATCGACTTAGGTCAGTCGCGACCGTGATTCGAACACACGACCTTCCGATCACGGAGCGAGCGCTCTACCAGGAGCCTGGAGAAATTTTGTGGACGGCCTATGCTGCAGAAGGGGTATACGTAGTAGTACAGTAGGCATATAAGAAAGTAAGTAAGATAGAGAGTTATATAGTCACAGGGGACCATCCCCAACATTAAAGTAGTATCAATTTAGTTTATATAGTTTCTCATCGGTTGATTTTTTTTTTTGGGGGGGGGGGTTATGCTTAATTGCTCCTTAATTATCCCCACCAGTATAGATTTCTTGAGTCAGGAAAAACTTTGCCGTGTAAATGATGAAGGAATGTTAAAAACAAAAAAGGAAAAGAAAGAAACAAAGAAACAAATTTCAGTCTTAACGCAAATTATTTTTAATCTTAAGATCTTAAAAGTTTCATAAAATTATGTGAAATTTTCATATACATGTATATTCTTTAGGATAATAATTCCTGTATACATGTACTGTAACACATTATCATTTCAGTCGAACATTTAAATGATAATCGTGTTAATTTGAGCCATTCTCTGTAATGACTTTAACTTTTATATAGAAGCTGTGGCACGCATAGTCTCAGAATTTCTCCAAACTCTCTATGATAAAAGTCTTTGATAACGTAAACTCAAATCAGGCAAAAATTGGTTGCTATGTGTCATGGTTACCATAGCAACATGTCCTAAAGTTTGAAAAATGGCATTTTTCAACATGTTCAGAGTCCCACAGTTAACGTTTGCAGCAAAGCAAACAAGTGGCAATGACTGTTTCTGAAAGTTGAAGGCCTGATGTCTTAAATGCATGATAAAAATGTTTGGTAAATCAACTATTACATACGTTACTATGGAAACAAAGTATTCAAAAGTAATAATTTTGTTCATTTGATTTTATAAAGTCATACACTCAAGAATAAAAACAATTATAGGTTGAAATGCAAGCATATATAATAGACAAGAATTCTTTGTAACATATACCAAGGACGAAATATGATATTTCTTATAGGTTGGCAATGGTTGCCATGGTTTTAATACCACAAAGGGATTTTAAATTTACTCTCTTAGTGTTTTAATCTTATCCTATCTTTTTAAAAAGCATATTTTTATATAACTGATGATCAATTTTTTAAGGCGTTGGTGTGACCCTAATTTTCACATTTCAAAAAATTCAAATTCAATTCTTTAAATAGAGCGTTGCTATGGAAATAAGCCGAAAAAATATGCATAAAAATCTGAAAAATATTCTGTTTCCTTGGATACGTACCCTTGTATGTAGATTCCCAAAACTTTTATGATTGATATATATGAACAACTAACCTGACTTTCAATTTTGACTACCACCCAGTCTCTAACTGGATGCAAAAAGCTGGCACATGGGATTTAATGTTGATATAAAATTAACAAGATCGAGCATTTTCCCTTCTTGGTAACCATAGCAACAGTGTTGTATTTTTCAACAAACTTTATCAATATATGATACTCAACTTTAGTTTTACCAGATAAATACTATTCAAGGTGAGTCAAATAATATGTTTCTTGATTATAAGGTAAGTAAATTCCTAAAGCAGCAAAAAAATATCACTTTAAACAACTGGTATGTTGTTTCCATGGTTACACTGCAAAGTAACAATGAATCCCAATTTTTCTTATGTTTTCGGTGTTGCAAGGTCCTAAGGATGTATATGTGCCAGTCAGGAAATTTATTGTTTTTCCTCAAGATAGTAGCATTAACCCAATCTTAGCAACAGATTTTGCATGGTTACACTGTGTTACCATGGCAACCATAAAGGCTATTTTTAGAAAAATATTGCCAATACCTAATTACTTAAGGTCAAATATTTTTATTGTTTTTCTTTGGTTGTTGATTGAGTTTGATCATGTAACATCTATCATTAGTAAATATTTAGCGTTTTTCAGCATCTAAAATGTATTCAAAATGTACCCATGGTTTCCACTTACTTAGAGATAAATTCTTAATAGTTTATTTATAGCATAAGTGGCAACAAGGTGTCATGTTTTTGTGATAATAGTTTGTTTGTTTTTCTTAGTCTTTATTAAGGCTTAATAAAGATTGAAAGAAGCTGAAAATCTCAATTTTTTTCAACTTTTCTGGCTGTTACCATGGCAACCAAGACACATAGCAACGAAATATTACTTGATACATGTTTCTGGTGTCAACTTGTAATAATGGGCAAAGTTTCATCAAAATCGGTGACCATGCGTGGCAAAGAAGTTTAAGTGGTTACAGAGAATCGCTATTAATTATAATTATAATTATATCTTTACCTTAAGGGCGTTCCCTACCAAAAATCAATAAAGAAAGAAAGAAAAAATTTTTAAAAAATGTTAAAAAATATTTGGTATATATTTTCGGGTTTTGTTTACCGAGGATAACGCATGAAAGTCAAGGGCTTATTTCCAATT